GGGACCTGCAGGGGGGCACGGGGACCTGCAGAGCCTCCTCCCGACCAGGATGTGGCCAGGGCCCAGTCTGGACCCCATGACCACAAAGCTCTCTCATTTCCCCTTTTAGGTTCTGCTCACGATACCAAAAGCCTTAAGAGAAAGGGGTTTTATTACCACAGCCCTGCATCACCAATCCCACCATGAATTCCCTCTGCCTTGCTCCCACCTAGAGCTCTTTTCTGCTCTCCACCTGACCCTTTAGGCTTTTGCTTGCTCATTTGTGGCAAAACTGCCCATGCCCAGCTCTGGAGCACAATGGGAGTGACAGTCTCASAGCTGTGACACAGCCCAGTGCTCTGATTGATCCCAGACTGCACCAAAATCCCTGCCCCGAGCTCCAAATCCCACCAGAACATCCCTTCCATGACCCAGAGACTCCAGTGGGTGTTCCCTTGGCATTGCTGTAAAAGGTCCCAATCAGCCCTGCTCAGAGCAGGGATAGTGGATAGGCAGAACTTCTGCAAACTGATCATTTCTGCTCAGCACTGGTATTCCTACAGACCAACATTCCTGCACACAGATCCACCTGGGCAGGGCTGGGAAGGACAGAGAAGGTTGTGTGGAGACCTCAGAACCCTTCCAGTGCCTGAGGCACAAGGCAGCAGGAGACACACTCTGGATCAGGAACTGCAGCCACAGGACAAGGCAGAACAGCTTCAAACTGAGAAAAAAGAAATTYAGGTTGGATATGTAGAAGAAACTTCTCGTTGTGAGGGTGGTGAAGCACTGATGTTTGCCARAGAAGCTGTGGCTGCCCCAGGATCCCTGGAAGTGTCCAAGGCCAGGCTGGACAGGGCTTGGAGAACCCTGGGATAGYGGAAGATGTTGGGATTGGAACAGGATGAGCGCCCTCCCAGCCCAAACCATTRTGGGATTCCCCAAGTCTCCAGAGTTGGAAAACATCCCTGCTGACACAGAAAGGGACACTCTTAATCAGCTCAGTATCACCACATTAATCTACAGCCAGAGCCCAGCTTTAACACATGAACCACATGCCCAAGCCCTGCTGGGACAGCTGCTCCACTGATCCCACACATCCATAAGCCTCTTTTCTGCTTAGGAAAGACTTAGGATGACTTTGGATCCTACAAAACCCAAAAATCTTGTTTTTCACTTTGCACATAGGCCCTGTTTATTGCCTGCTCTGTTCTGTGCCTTGAAACATCTGGAAAGATCACAGACCCATTTCAAGTMATCCAGGAAAGCTCTCTAGGAACAGCCACAGAGCAGAAGTGGTGGTTGAGCTTCAGGATCTGAGCATGGGCCATGCCCAGCCAGAACTTCCACCCCCTGGCACTGGGATTTATGGATCTCTTCTGGATTAATGAGGCCATGAAGAAAGGTCCAGCAGCCCAGTAGGGCTCACCTGGGCAGCGTGAGCTCCACAGATCCAGGCTTGGCCAGCACCAACCAGGGCATCTCCAAACCTCCCACAGCTTTGAGCCCAGCATTGAAGGGAAAAAGGAATAAAGTCCTGGATTTATTCACAGAACAGACTCCACACAACCACCTGGGAGCACAAAGGTGCCAGCACTGGCCAGGGGAACAGAATCATGGAATGCTTTGGATGGGAAGGGACCTCCAGACCATCCCTACTGCAGGGACACCTCCCACTGTCCCAGGCTGCTCCCAGCCCCARTGTCCAGCCTGGCCTTGGACACTGCCAGGGATCCAGGGGCAGCCACAGCTTCTCTGGGCACCCTGTGCCAGGGCCTGCCCACCCTCCCAATTCCTTCCCACTATCCACAGCACTCAGCCAAGCACAACTCAGAGACCCTGAGAGGTSCCAGTGCCAGGAGTAGGAAGGGGAGAACATTCCAAGGAAGTTCCCTGGTAAGTTCTCCTTTGTTGTTCCTAACTGGTAACACAACAGGTCATCCATGACTGGAGTGGGGAGGAGGCACCAGAGCCCTCGACAGAGCTCCCCAAACACTGCATCTGCTGCTTTCACTTCCTCCTGGCCCAATTCTGTTGCTTCCCCAATCCCTTCACCTCTCCCAAGGGCACGGGGAAGACCCTGGGCTGCTCTGCACAGCTTCTTTGTCCCACCTGTCCCCAAGCTTCCTTCTTGTCCCTCTGTCCCAAGCTTCCAGCCTGTCCTTCCTGTCCCTGAGCTTCCCTCTTGCCCCTCCTGCCTCTCAGCAAGGCACCTGCTGCTCCCTGGGAGGTGACACCTTCCCTKGCCCTCCAAGTGCTCTCTCACCGTGTGCTTCCCACCCATCACTCCCACAAAGGTGCCAACCTTCCCTGGACATGGCTCAGGGATGAGCAAGTTTTCCCCTTACCCACTTCCTAAGGAAACTCCTCAGCCCAAAGGTATCCAAGGGCAAAGGACATAGAGGAGTGATCATTCACTGTAACAGACATGGAAACAAAACCCAAGAGCAGCTTCCAGCACAAGGAAGTTCCCCACACAACAGGATTTACACCCAGCTGGCTCCCAGTTCTCCTCTGCCATCTGGCCTGGCAGCATTCCAGAAAACAAACCCAAATAATTCTTTCCAATCTAAGAGGAGATGATCATTAAGTATAGGTGGTGCTTATCACAGTCAATTAAACAACATCAGTGTCCACCTGAAATGACTGTGGAGGTTACAGAACTTGGAAAAGCAAGGATTACAGTTTTCCCTTCACACGCTTCCCAAGGAAACTCCTCAGCACAAAGATATCTGAGGGGAAAGAATATAAAGCAGGGAAGAAAGTCCTGGTCATGGAAGAGACATGGAAACAAAGTCCAAGGAGTCCTCCACACAGAGCATCTTCTGAAGTGTTCCCCCAAGTTTTCACAGAGGAGAAGAGTTCATGTGAGGTCAGGAATAACTGACCAGGTCATGGAGGAAAAGAATATCAAACAAACATGACAGAGTTTATCACGAGTTTCTCCTGCTCTTCTACTTCCCCCAGGCATCCCTGCCTGGGTCTGACTCAGCACAGCCCTAACACAGAGAATCACTGACTTCACAAGCTCAGGATTGGCTTTTCCAGGGAAAATACTTGAAGAGGAAGTGATCCCTTCAGGCAGCAGAGCAGGTGAGCCAGGGTCCAGCCCCAGCTGAGGCTGCGGTTCTCAGGGGACTGGAACTCCAAGGCTTCCCCTGCTCCCCTCACTGCTCCTCTGGCCCAGCAATAATCAAGAGTTAATGAAATAATGGCCCGAGAAATTCCAGTGCTTCCAGCTGGCAGCAAATGCCTTTGAGGAAATGCTTTCAAGGGATCCTGGCTTCTCTTGCAACACCTGAACTACTGAGATTATCCCAGGACAGGCAGAGCCAGCTCACTGCAAAGCCCCTTAGAAACCCAACCACMGCCTCCTCCATCCAAGCCTCCCCAACCTACCTGAGCAATCACACCTTCATGGGTGTGCAGAGCTGCCCAAAGTTCCTAATTCCTCCCAGGAACCTGTCCTGGAGCAGCTCCCAGGCTGCTGATCCTGCATGCACCCACCCAGGGTGTGTGGGCAGCCATCCTGYCACATGAGGTCAGGATAATTTTGGGGTTTTTTGGTTTTATTTTTAAGCCAGTTTTAAGCTGCTGCATCAACCCCACATTGGTTGCATTAGAGCAGAAAAGCAGTCCCAGATTCCAGGGACATTCTCCCGCCTCTGACCTCCAAAAGCTCCTGTCAGTTCCTCCAAGCACWGTGCTGAAGATGTGGAAGTGGGACCAAGCACGACTCCAGTGCTCCAAGGATGACTCTCCTACCTCCACTTAAACAAGAATAACTTACTAATCACAAATCCACCCTCCACAGACCTGAAGAGACCAAAACTTGAGCCTGATGCTCACAGTATTATTTAAGACAGAAGCATTTTCACCTGAAAATGAGCCAAAGTGGAGATTACTCAGAGTTAGAACATAAAGGAAGAAGCAATTCCTTGGAAGGTTCCTGCAGGAGCCATTACCTCCACCTGCTGAGAAGCCAAGGCAAAACCAGACTCGAAAGGTTTATCAGGAGGAAACAAAACTAAACCTTGGATAAGTCACATTAAATGCTGCTCACAGCAGAGGGAAGAGCAGCCCCACAGCCAGAGAAGCTGTRGCTGCCCCTGGATCCCTGGCAGTGTCCAAGGCCAGGCTGGACATTGGGGCTGGGAGCAGCCTGGGACAGTGGGAGGTGTYCCTGCCATGGCAGGGGTGGGACTGGATGGGCTTTAAGGTCCCWTGCAACCCAAACCCATCTGGGATTCTGGGATTGTGATCCTGTACAGAACAAGGATTAACTGGTCCTGGTTCCTCCTGATCAGAAACAGCAGCTCCCTCCTGTCTGACCTGGCCACAGAGAGCACATTTTCCCAGAAAAAAAAGGGAATAGCTGTGGACCAACAAATAATAAATTCAGCTATCCAGGCCTTCAGAAGGGATTCTCCACAAGCTTAAACTCACCCCCATCCTGCACTGGAGCTCTGACTGGCTTATCAAAAGACACAAACCACACAAACTACACTTTGTTCTGGTTTCTGCTCACTCCACRCCTGAGCTTTTCAGATGCCACCAGCCCCAGTGTTCCCAAACTCCTGAGCAGCACGAGCCAAAGAATCAGTGACCTTACACCAGCAAATTAACCCCAGGGACTTGACTACACCCTCCTGTCCCTCCAGATGCACTGCACACAGAGGCTTTGGCAGCCCAGGGCTGCCCCAGGGCTGAAGAGCAACAGCAGGGCACAGCCTGGGCTCACAAACACCACTAAGCCTCTTGAGCAATCAGGTGACTCCAGCACCAAGGAAGCACTGTCTGCTCCTGCAGTCACCCCGGAGCACKCACATAAGGGAGCACTTGAACACCAAAACAGAGCCCCAATCCCTCGCCCTGCCCTGCAGGGACCGGCTGACCCCAGAGCTGCAGAGCCCACGCACAGACACCTCAATTCCCTGAGTAGGACAGGTCCGGCCTCAAACTGGCGATTGTGAAGCGATTTAGACATTCCCACAAGTCTCTGTTCTTTTGATGTYGGATAWTTGCRGAACTCACCCCACCGAGGTGACACYCACTGTCACTGTAGGATCCCACAGTCCTCAATTCCCTGAGTTCATGGCCCTCAACTCCCTGGATTCAGTCCTCAACTGCCCAAATTCACAGCCCTCAACTCTGTGAATTCACAGCCCTCAACTTCCCGAATTCTCAGCCATCAACAGCCTGGATTCAGCCCTTGACTCCCCAGATCCATGGGCCTCAACTCCCTGAATACAGTCCCTCAAATCCCTGGCCCTCACTGAACTCGGGAGACAAGAACCCCATGCTCTGCAGTAACACCAGCCCTAGCTTTGAGCAGAACGGGTTAAATGCAGTAAAACAGATTAACTGGGAACATTTTCCTCCCTGAGCAGCCCTGTACCACTCAGGTGTTCCTCCTGTTAGTAACACAAATCTGTTAAACTGCTGGAGAATGTCCCTCTGTGGTTACAAGAGTTAGGAATGAAACCCATTTAAATCAACCCCCTTGCTGAGCTGTTTTCTATCTAAACAATATTACACAGCTGGAAGTAGCCAAGATCAAATCTTCCAAAAARACACTGCAAGATGCACGAGCTGCTGTCTGAGATCCCTCTGGGGATTGAACTTAAGAATCCTAAAACCACAAAAAGGGTCTGGAGGAGGGACCTTAAAGCCCATCCAGTGCCACCCCAGCCATGGCAGGAACACCTCCCACTGTCCCAGGCTACTCCCAGCCCCAATGTCCAGCCTGGCCTTGGACACTGCCAGGGATCCAGGGGCAGCCACAGCTTCTCTGGGGCACCCTGTGCCAGGGCCTGCCCACCCTCCCAGCCAAAAACTCCTTCCCAATACAAGGGCAYTGAAAAAAGGCACAGATAAACTTCTTAAAGAACATCAGAAACACAGAGTCAGGCTTCAATGTGATGTTTAAAACCTCAGTAGGGACGATTTATTGTTTTCCAATGACTCCTGTGGCCCAGAAGATTCCCAGCTCAATGCCCGTGAGCCACGGAGGAGGTCCCTGCCTGCACTTGCAGAAATTCTCTTACAGAAAGCAAAGGGCAGCGCGCTGCTGCTCTAAGCACAGAACGAGGGGAGATGTTGCAACCATTCGAGTTGCAAACTGCTGCAATAATCGTTTGAGCAGGGTGAGCTCAGCAGAAAGCAGCCCAGGCTTCCCTTTAACCTATGTTGGGCAGCTGGAAAAATCATTTCATTACAGAGTATTCCAATGTGAAGCCCTGCTCTTTTTGAGCCTGAGAAATGTAACATTTGTGCTCCAACTTATCCCAAGTTCAGCTTCCCTCTGCACACACAGCTTASTCCAGTTTCCCCCAGTGCAACCCTATGGAAACAAATGACCAAGGAAATTAATCCACGTGGTCTTCCAGCCCTTCACCTTTCCTGGAAGCAGCATGGCAGGGTTTGGAGGGGGGTAAGGACACAGAACATGACAGTGATTGAGTAAGCAGCTCTCTAACCAGGGAACACGGACACCCCAAAGCATAGAATCATGGAATTGTTAAGGTTGGAGAAGCCCTCCAAGACCAAGACCAAGCCCAACCATTCCCCAGCACTGCCAAGGCCATCACTCATCCATGTCCCCAAGTGCCACATCCACACAGCTGTTCAATCCTTCCAGGAAGGGGGACTCCACCACTGCCCTGGGCAGCTGTGCCAGGGCTGGACAGCCCTTTCCATGACTGAATTCTCCCAGTACCCCACCCGAACCTCCCCTGGCACCAATTGAGATAGTTTAATCTCGTCCTGTGACTGTTCCCTGGAGCTACATCCCGACACCCTCCGCTCCCAGACACACCAGTAACACGCCAGCAATATATCGGTTGCACCCCAGTAACAAGCCAATAATACGCCAGTAAAAGGCCAGGAACACCCCAGTAACACGGCAATTATACACCATTAACACACTAAAGGCCCCCCAGCACCCCCGCCGGGTCCCGTGGGCCTGTCCCCGCTTCTCCCCCACCCCCGCTCCCAACGCCGACCCCGGTGCCGAGCGCGGCCTCCTCCCGCCGGCAGCGCCTCCCGAGCCCGGTGCCGGGAGCGGGGCAGGGCCCGGCCAGACCCCCTCACCCCCGCCCGGCCCC